AATCCCAACAGGGCAGCTCTGCTTCTCCTCCTCAAAGAGCTGCCAAGAGCTGTCCTGGGTGTAATTGACTTGTTTGCCTTGCCTGTTTCGCCTTTCTACCCCGTTACCAAGTTGTTGAGACATACACACTATCATGTCCGACAAGTGAATGCAAGCAGGAATTTTGTGACATACAGTGACTCATACACACTGAAGGGGCACGGAACACTTAATCTTTTCGCAGTGCCATCGTTTTGTCACCGAGTTATAATCATTGGAAGCGGAAATCAGTATTAATGGGAAAAGAAAAACGAACTTGCTCTCTTCCGCTGAAAAGAAAAACACTGGCCGTGGCACACAAATTCCTCTCTCCCTGCACCAGATTACACATGTACGTGTGTACGTACCTTCATGTCTCTGATATTGTGGATGTAGAGGTTCTGTTTCAATACCACTACCAGCCGCTGTCTGTTGAGCTTCACTGCCAGAATGATGTCCGGATAGCTGTAGGTGCAGATCTCCGAGTTTTTCTGTTTGACGGTAAATGTATGCGAAGGGAATACGTTTTTATGCTTCAGCCTTTGAGATGCAGAGCTATGTATGGACGTGCAGTTGCGAAGGGAATACGTTTTAATGCTTCAGCCTTTGAGATGCAGAGCTATGTATGGACGTGCAGCTTTGTCCTGCTCGTCACTCTTATGTACAATGAGGGTTAAAGTATATATCTAGGGTATGGTCTTCTCTTAGTGAATAACACAAAAATTGATATTATGCTTGCAAACACAAAATCTGCCATTTTAATACCTCTACTCCCAGAACACACAAACACTGACCTTGAAATGGCAGGCTCTGAGTTTCCTGGGGTGGGCCAGTTCCACCATTGCCACCAGACTGCTGGAGAACAGCCTCTCTATGATACACACCTCGCCACCCTCTGAAAGGGAGAGGGGGGAGTATGGGGGGAGGGAGTAGGGAGGGAGTAGGGAGGGAGAGTAAAACAGTGATTTTTTGGTGGACTCTGTTCAGTATACTGTCGAACTTGCGATGAAGTAAGTTGCCTAACCCTCGGGGGGCTGTCTAAAGTATACATGGGACTAGTACATTTTGTATTAAACAGTGATAACTTTACAGAGCTCTTAGAGGACTGCACTTTCTAGTAAGCGGTAACATAAACACACTATGTACGTACTTGCAGAGACCCGCCCCCGATACATAGTACAGTACTACAGAAACTGCAGAGTCTGTGGGAGCATTGTACACTCACAAATGTTTGCCTAATGTTTGCCACATGTGGACCCTCTCAATATTTGGCAGAGTGGGGCAAAACTCAAACGTGTCTTGAGCACTGATGCATAACATGGATTTGTTCAGTTACCTTTCTCAAAGCTGGGATTCAGCTTCATCTCGAGGCTTGTAAGAGGATAGAGCTTGTACCCAGTTTAGTACCGACTGACAGGGAGCTAATAAGAGAGATGGGGCAGAAGAAAAGTTGTTTGCACGTGTTGGACGTGTGTGGGGAAGAGAACATCATTGGTTCATTGGATTTTAAATTCAGGTGGAGGACCAGGGAACGAAATAGGATAAAGAGTAAGAGAGAAGCGGTTGGGGTGACCAGAGAGGGACCCCAAACGCTTTTCTAACCGTCTCCCTAGCTTATCGCTGTGTGTATAAGTTCAGTAGCCGGGATAGTGCGTTTTTACCGCGACTTACGTGGTGTCTTGGTTGAAATTGGCAAACAGGAGCTCGGAAGTTGAGTCCCCGGCCTCCTGAGAAAGATTCATGTCTCCCTTATCTCTCTCTCTCTCGGCCTCAGCTCAAAAACAGAACGCTCAGCTCACAATGACGTCATTGCCATCGCGCAATCAGTCCAAGTGTGGAACCAAGTACTGGAACGTGGGTAGTGTGTGGTGCAATAACGATTCCGTCATTATGACATCGTGTTCTAAAGATAGAAAACACGCCTATAAAACCGCAGTGCCAGCTGATTTGCGGCAGTCACCCTGTCCAGTGGCGAGGCGCACTTTCCGACCAGCAGCTTCAGCGATGGAGCTCAGGAAGGCCGCGTCGTGCGCAGTTGGGAAAGGTTTCCCCCAACTGACGCTTACTTCGCAACTGATGCTTACTTCGAATGACAGATGCAACTGATGTTGTATCCTCATTTTTTGCGGCACCGACCATCGTGCCCCGCTTCCTAGGGACCCCCGTGTCACAGCGGCCACGCCGTCACCCCTCGCTGGGTGCTAAGTGGCAGACGCGGTGGGGACCGGGAGGCGCCCTGGCTGTTCCGTCTTCTCTCTCCTCACTACAAGCCTCGCACTCTCCCACACAGAGAGCCGCAGGCAGCAGTGAGAGAAGGCGGGGGAGTTAGGGTGCTATTTCTCATGTCATTCGAAGAAGCGTGTTGAGTTGCGTTTAGTGAGTGTCAGTTCGGCTGGAATCCTCGCCAATTGCGCGCGGCCGTTCTCCCCGGGACTCTGTCGCAGAAAGTGCTGTATCTTAGCGCTCTGCAGCAAGCAGCCTCGTATGAGAGCCTGGCAGACAGCACTTTCTAACATTTTTCAATGAAACTCTTCTCTTATTATTACACAGTGACATTATTATAACTTGGTGAAATATTAGAGAGTGGTGCTCAAAAATACCAACGCAACATGTGCAGGCTCAGTGCATCATAGAGAAAGTTCCCAAACTGCCGGAAATTAGGGGCTATTCGATGAGCTTTAGCACCTTGCCAATGGCAATTGTCTTGCCTGTAGAGAAAGCAATATCTTATACATTTGAGGATGACATGACAGCACAATGAACAATAGTCACATGTGGGTGTGGGTTTGAGGATGACATGACAGCACAATGAACAATAGTCACATGTGGGTGTGGGTTTGAGGATGACATGACAGCACAATGAACAATAGTCACATGTGGGTGTGGGTTTGAGGATGACATGACAGCACAATGAACAATAGTCACATGTGGGTGTGGGTTTGAGGATGACATGACAGCACACACAGTACATGGGTGTGGGTGTGTGCATTTATCCTGTGAGCTCTTTTATATATGCACAGTCACTCAGGTTTAAACGAATGTGGCCTATAGAATTGATCTTGGATTTGCACCCTGAACTGGCCATTTGATACTGGCACTGCAGCCTCGAAGGCGTTATCTAGGCCATTCTGACAGCACTCACCCTCGTCTCGCAGGGTAAAGCGGGCCATCTGAGGAAACTCCTTGAACGTCTCCAGACAAATGATGCCAGCCGTCTGCAACCGAGCAATCACCACCTGATCCTGCTTCACAAACCTGCACAACAACAGCAGCAGAGCAGAGCTCATACACACACATACATACATGTGTACTTTTCTCCTAGACTTAATCTAAGACTACCATCCACCACAACTACGACATTTGACTTGTATACCCCAGTTGGCAATGTATGCTGGACAATGCAAAATCTGGGCCACACAGCAAAGAGTAGAACCACCGGTATCAAAGACTGACCTTGGCCTCTGTGCAACTTTCTTCCCTGTCTTCTTGTCTATCAGTGCTAGGAGTTGCTGCAGTTGACATAAAAGAAAAGTTCTAAAAATAGCACAGTCAGTATTACATCATCTTATTCACCGCTATATTATACCTTTATCTGAACTTCCTCCACCACGCTGTGAATGTGCAGCACCGCACTGTAGCCTGCACAGATGATGGACTTGTGCTCCAGAATGGCGATCTGAGCATCGAAGGTGGAGCCAACGTGACAGAGGCTGTCTGTGTCACACAAAACAAACCCAGCCGAAATGTCCTGCCACAACGAGAGAAAGAGAGATAGTGGCTACGTAAACCCATCCCATATTATAGCATCGCAATGTTCATATGCACGCCTATGAACCGTTCATAGGCGGTGCGTGATTTCAATGACATTTGTACATTCATATGTATGCCCGTTGATTGTCCTACTGGTGGTTTCTGCTTTATAACTAGAGATCTTATAACATGAGAGAGTCTGTGTGTGTGTGTCGTAGTTGCATGGTACAATCACCGCCTCCCTCTATTTGGAGTCCTTCCTCCTTTTTATGGGCAAAGTGTAGCTATGTTTGTCCTGTCATGCTGTTGAGTATACACAATCATGGAACTCTCTCTAGTGTGCGAATCATGTGAGATCATGTGACCACATGCTCTACATGTATTGCAGTGGTGCCAGCAATACAACTCTCATCACACAATCACTCACACGTTGTCTGTAGGTATATCACAGGCCCCGAGAGTACAATACTACGAATGACTAGCATGCTGGAAATTTACCCACTGAAGCAAACCCTACTGCGAGCGAGTCAACGAAAGTCACGCGAGTCGTCGCAATGCCCATAAACACAGTTGCCGCTCACTTTGCTAAAACTCAGTTCATGCTCGCGTACTGAAAGGTATTACTGGTTTTTTGCCGTGTGCTAAACCCCAATGGTGGTTGTACTAATCTCACACAGTACTTCAACCAACCTCTTCCTCTACTCCCTTCAGTTTGACTCTAATGTTGTCGCCAGAGTAAGCCGTGTTCACCTCCTCCTCGTTGCTCAGGATCGAAATAACCTCTACCACTGCCTGAACAATGCAGATATACAGATTTCACCAGGAGAGCAAGAGCGGAGATCTCCACAAACCTTGTTTGGCATAAGAGTAAGAGTCATTCCCTTTGCCAGCCCCCCACTCTCCACCTTCCCCATCACCATTGTACCCATGTCCTGTTGGACCAATACGTAGGGGGAATCATTACGGTGTGGAATCTCTGAATAAAGGACACGCTTAAACGTCTATTGGAAAACCACATGCTGGGACCATCGAAGTCCTCCTTGTTACAGAGATGTCCTCTATTGAGTTTGCAGTCAACATTACAACTGTTTAGGTTAGGCAGTATGGTACTTCCAGCTAATATTCCACTTTCGTTGCACTATGAACGATGGGCATGCTGCATTCATTCTGCCACATTGGTGAATGCTGGGAGTTGTTAACCTTGTATTTGTCGGAGATAGGCATTCTGAAGGGTCCGGTATCCTCTCTTGTGAGGGGAGGTAGCTCATCCAGGTAGCTGATGAAAGCTGGCCCTCTGAGAGGGAGGAAGGCGAGAGGGAGAGAGATAAATAAAGGAAAGGGGGGAGGAAGGAGGGAGAGGGGGATGAGAGCAGAGTGGAAAAGAAGAGAAAGAGAGAGGGACAAAGTGGTTCTCGAAGAAATACTAAAGATCACTTGTAGAGACGTACCTGTACCAAGGACAGACTTCCTCAGGGGCTACCTCTTTGATATTGGCTCCAGTGAGGCCAGACACAGGAATGAACGCAAGGTCTAGTAAAACAATATGGGGGAGAGTATGGATATTAACATGCAGCACTGATGTATGAAGAGCTCTATTATATACTACTGTATATATATACCTGTTTTGGGGTTGAAACCAACTTTCTTCAGAAAAGGAGTGAGTTTTATTTTGCACTCTTCGTATCTGAAAGACAGTGGATGGTTGAACAACCGGCTGAACAAACTACTCGGACTGCTACCTGTTTTCGTCCCAGAACACTGTCGGGTCGTCCATCTTGTTGATGAGAATCACCAGATGCTTGACGCCAGCTGTCTTGGCCAGCATGGCATGTTCTCTGGAAATTACAATTCATACCATCTCAACACACCCGTTATCGTACGAGGGTGAGATTGTATATGCACACGCGCTGCACCGTGTCACCTTATGGGCTTACATTGATTTACATCCCGAGGAACATAAGCGAAATTGGGGATTAGCCCACACTACTAAAGAATTTTCTTCGCACAGAAAACTTTATACCGTTTTGGATTTTCGCAAACTTTTTTTACACAAATTTTCTACTGGAAAAATCAAAGAGAAAAATACTTGCAGGCTGAAACCTTGTAAACTAGAGATTTGGTGATATATAGAAGTGATTGGTAAAACTTGGACCAAATTGTGTGACAGACGGCATACCTGGTCTGCCCCCTTCGCTCAAAGCCGGTCTCGAACTCTCCCTTGCGGGCAGAGATGACGAGAACCCCGATGTCTGCCTGGGCCGCCCCGCTGATCATGTTCGGGACGAACCCGGCGTGACCCGGGGCATCCAAGATGGTGAACCTCTTCTTGTCGGTCTCGAACGACGCCCGGCCACACTCCACTGTTTTACCCTGGGAGACAACAACATTGGGAACAGCAGACTCACACAGCAGGTTGATACCGTACATAATATACTGATGGATTCACTCCATGGAAATTTCTGATAGGTTTTAGGATCACGGCTTTACACCCCTACTGCTCTTTAAGAAAGACTGAATCGATAAACTGCAAGCAAAGCAAAATAATTCAACTCGGGGAGTTTCTATGAGCAGGGGAAGCATCAATGGGGAATGATTAAACATGGTCATCTTGTATAAAGCTTTTTTTTTCAATGACACTGCTATTCAACCACCCATCTTTACACGTGGGGACAGGCAGTATGTGAATGAACCTTGTTCCTCTCCTCCTGGTTGGTGTCCAGAGCCCAGGCCAAGTACCAGGTCTCCCTGTTCTTCTCTTTCGCCTCTCTCTCGTACTTTTCCAACGTTCTCTTGTCCACCTGACCTGTCAGGTACCTAGGGTGGGTCGGGAGGGATCCCCCCTGCTAATTAGCCCGAGTTCTACGTGAATGAGGGATGGGTTACTTACAGCACGTGGCCTCCTATTGTCGACTTGCCAGCATCTGAGGGCAGATGAATAAACCATGAAAGGGATATGGTGGTGCATAAAACTGTTCCTAGCGCCCTATTGTTAAAGGGAATGCTAAGGACTAAATTTAGAAATGTTACTAAAGATAGAACAAAACAATTGGGGCACAGTGAAAGAATGCAATTGAGTTCCGTTCTTAGTAAAATTTCTAAATGAATATTGCCACATTCCTTTTTTTAAGTTTCATCTTTAGTAACATTATCCTTATGTACTACCACATTCCCTTTAAAGCTAGCTCTTGAGAACACTGGCGTCTGTTCACATTGAAATGGCAGGTAAAAATCTCCGGATTAAAGGGAAAAGAATGGACACACAACTCACAAATTATTAGCTAGTGTGATTATACCCAAATAGCACTCACCGACATGTCCAATGAAGACAATGTTAATGTTCTCCTTCTCATGCTCGTCTTTGGGGGGAGCGGCCTGGCTGTGCTTGCTCCCTTTCCCCGGGCCACTCTCTGCCCTGCTCACCCCCCCAGTACCCCTCTCCGTGAGACTTGGAGACGGCTGCTTTCTCTCTGCTTTGGCTAGGTCGGGAGTACTGGAGGAAGACGTCGAGGAGGAGGAAGAGGGGGCTTCTTTGACGGGGGGTTGCTCCTGCGATTTGGGAGTAGATCGGCCGGAAGAGGAATTGGACACAGAGTCGGTCTTCAGTTCTGAAGCAGTGGTAGGAGGGGTAGATGAGGCGGGGTTTTCTCGTTGTGAGGAGGGGACTTCGGACGGCGGCTGGGGGGCGGGGCCAGCGTCGTCAATGTCCTCCCAAGACTCCACCTGACAACACAATCATGATATCAAGTTGTACGTAAAACATTTTACTGCAGTTACCAAACATAAAAGGAACATTTCAACATACGTAGGTCAGAAGGGACAGAGACAGACCAAACCAACTTCTGTCGCTAGTAAACTCAGGCGTCATGACTAGAAGTCTAGTGGCCACAACACTGCACTCAGCTACTGAGCTACTCTGTAACTCCAACTCCCAGACAAGAGCTATGATGTCATTCCCTCAGGTTTATCTATATACTAACAAGTACACAGGCCAGGAGGGAAAGAGAAGAGTTTCCTACCGGGAATCAGACCTGGCGCCATGTGAACTAAACACTGAGCTATATACGTATGTACACACATATGTATCTCCCAGAATAAAGCTCGTTTTCACCGTCTCTCAAATATCTACCAAGTCTTTATTTCCACCGCATCCACATGTACACATACATAATTATGTACCTGAGAGTCTTGTAAGTGGGTAGTGATGTCAGCCTTTGACGGATGAGGGGGAGGAGCCACGAGGGTAGGCGGGGCACCGACTGGGAGATTGGTTTTGGTCTCGGTTGGAGGACTCCAGTGTTTCTCGCTGGTCGTCTGCTGGAATTGGGGGGAGTGGCCTCGACTGCCTCTGCCGTGGCTTCCCCCAGGAGTATGCAGCAGGTCTATCGTGCAATCACAGGGAACACGGCAGTATATATATACACAAGGGCTAAATTTAGAAGTGTTACTAAATCACTCTCCTCCGTATATAGGCGATGTTTTGTTCACAAGTGTCTCTTTTTTAATCCCATGCTTATTTTATGTCCCTTGCGTGCTGTTACATTGCGTGATGTCATCTTGCATAATAATATGCAGGTCACGTGAGGTTACCTTGCATCGGTTGTTGTGATTCCATTCCATGCTGAGCAGCTGGCATGTGCATGTGACCCGCCATGAGGACCCATCCACGATGGCATCATCCCATAACCTACACATAGCACAAACACAGCAGCAAAGTACAACACATTTGGTGAGTGAGAAAGAGCTTAAATAATTACATAAAGCTTGAAGCACAAGGTTGGTAGGTTGAAGTTATTATTATTTGGCGAGCGTAACATACCCACCTAATCAGCTAAATTGCGTGATTCTCTCTAAATTTGTTTGTAGGTATAATTGTAGATAACACAGTAAAAGCTTGGTGTAATAATGAGTGTAAAACTGCTTGCATTGGCTCGGCAATAATTCATTCCAGTGGATAGCAGCACGTGTATAGATGGCAGCAGCAGTGTGCAAACAAGACCCTATCATGTGACGACAAGGAGGATTGGTGGTATGTATTACAGACGAACCTTGACCCGCGTGCATGGGGCGAGCTGGCAGACCAGGTGGAGGTGGGTACATCCCTGGAGGAGCCATCGGCTGGTGGTGACCTGGACACACACACACACAATTAATACAGTGACACTCATAACTGTAGAGCTAAGGGAGAAAACTGTTGGTAATTTCACGGGCTGGGAGTCATGACATCCACGATAGTTTTCACTGCAGAATTTTGTGCAAAGGAAACAACTTGTATTGTTGGACTAGCAATCTGCAAAACTTGACCCCACAAAATGTTCATTTGCCATTGAACCGTTAAAAATGGTTTTCACTCTCCAATGTTAGTTTCCTTCTGCATGCCATTACATAACGGTAAATGACATCATACATTATAAACCTTGTACTCGTTTCCTGTCTAGTTTTGTGCAGTGTTAAGAATACGCTGCAAGTGGAATTTGTAAAACATTCACGTGGGACGAAATGAGGGAGTGGTTCTCAGATTGTCAAAGGACACTTGGCTTTTTTAGGAATTGCGCAACTTCTGAGTACAGTGCCCAGACTGTGATGACCGTGCCAGAATTCAGCCATTGTCTGCGGGTTTGGAGACGCTTGCTGCAAGCAATGCTTTGATCTCCGAACGTTCGACGGTGACAGAAGAGCATGAAAGCAGAGCATCCAACAGCAGTAAGTAATGAGTGTGATCACAACAAGCTAACGGGAAAATTACCTAAAGCTGTAAGACACATGCATGTGGCTTGGTCTTAACGAAATAATCAGCAGTGCGGTGGACCTTTAATCTTCTGCATGTAAAATCTTCATGCAATATTCACATATACAATAAAGGTTTTGGTGAGCAGAGTGTAACCTCATGTATTCAATGTCAGGTAGATATCTGTACGATTCACTTTTCCCACAAAATTATTATACACTGCAAGTACAATAGATATTCCTGCAATACTCACCATGCATTGGGTAGCCACCATAATGACGCGGGACATACCCGCCACCTCCTGGCGGGCCTCCAGGGATGAACGAGGGAGCCTGCACGTTGGGAACAAACGAGTCGGCGTTGACGTTCATCCGACCGAACCGCGTACCCATGTCGCCAGGCTGGCCTCCCCCTCCTCCCCCTGACATGCGGGGGTCCATTCTGGTACGAGACACCTCCTGCGATTATTGAGCAATACGCTCTGTGGGGCTCTCTTGGGGTTGTTCTGAGTCTTGATAGGTTTCAGTTCAGTTAGAGGTCGGAGTGAACGCCAGTGGTCGTGTGATGCGAGTGGAAGACAGAAGGGAGAAAGACGCACGCGTCGATACAGCGCTGTAGAGGCCTCTCCAGCCGAAACTCATTGATGGTAGCTGAGGCACACAGCCCCGGAAACAGCTCTGTGCAGCAGTCGCGCTTCTAGACCTCCACAGAATGCTTACTCCGTCTTCTTCCAGACACCGATTACGCCACCTTCCCATGCGACTTTTTCCAACCATGTGGGCGGCGGCGTCGCAGCGGCGCGCCGGCAACCTGATAATCATGTGACATTGTAGAGATAAGCGCGGGGTGCGCCTTTCGCACTGTTGAAAAAAACTGGCCACCAGCGGAGGAAGACGAGTTTTGGCGATGCTGTTTGTGCCAGGGGGTTCTTTTTTGGAGTACCACCACTAGTACACTTCACACGGTATTTCCAGCCGCCTCCACTTCCATTCAATCCCAGCGCGGACGTGTGTTACGGCGATTTGGTGGGCTCTAAATAGAAGTGGCGTCCGTTTATTTTAAAAACACTGCATAAAGGAGCACCCAGCTGCGGAGCGGTGAGTGTACAGATGGGGTAGCGCTGGTACCGAGCTACCTTATTAGGCCGCAAGAACCTGTCTGCCGCACTAACTGTGCGGGACTGTTTGTGGCGGTCTCTAAATATGCTGAGCTGCACTTCCTTTCTGTACAAAGCGGATTATGTTTTGCACCTAGGGCTTTGAAGTACTCAACCCTGAAGGCAATATAACAATCTATGGGAAATTTGGTCTGTATGTGGAGTTAGGGTTTGGTGGTGTGACTGGTTCAAAACAGGCCATTTGTGTTATGGATATGTTTTGTACCCACTGTGGCTTTGTGCCAGCAGCTTACTAGAGGAGTGTTGCCTAATCATTGCTGCCTGCATTTGCCTGCTCAACCTTTGCAGTAAGCGTTAATGATGTCATAGTTCTTGCATCAACCCCAATGGTCAACATTTGATCCAGTCTAGACTGTTTTCCGCCCCCAATTGCTGTCTAGAGTAAAAGTATTCCTCTGTGTGTACGGTATTGAACCTGATGTGTCCCTACAGAGAAGGCAGTATACTAGACCGAGGAGGCAGTATACTAGTAATAGGAGGCAGTATACTAGAAACAGGAGGCAGTATACTAGACAGAGGAGGCAGTATACTAGACAAAGCCATGGCAGAGGGAGGAGAGGGCTGCCACCATTTCTCACCACTGGAGGAGGAGCTCATCAGAGAGGTGGAGGAGGAGGAGGCCAGTGCCGAGGCTCAGATACAGAGAGAGAAAGAAATGGCCTCGCAGAAACTGTGGTGTGCCTTCCAAGACTCTGCCACCGCAGTCGCACACCTCTTCAGAGGTTCGTGTGGCGTTATTTTAGAAGATCCTTACCATAGGCCCATACATTAATGGAACGTGTAGCACACTTTAGTGCTTGCTCGCTTGAGCCGTAGAAGTGTTGTGTGTTGGCATGATGTCATGTAAAAGAAAGTTTTTCCAGTGGGGTAGTCTATTGATTGTCTATAGGGCCCTGAATCTGACGGTACAGTATGCCAAGAGTGGTGCCTACATGTATGTGGGTGTGTGCTTATATATAGTATAATCTTACTGCGACGTTTATTCTCATTCAGATTGCCAGCAGCAAGCTGGACTTGCAGCCTGGGTCCCTTTCCAAGATAGTGCCAGTGCAGTCACTCAGTTGTATAAAGGTAGGCACACTGACACCACTAGTGTGGTGTGTGTGTAATGACTCTACCGTGTCTGTAACGATGGGAGAACAATTTGGGTTTAGAGAGCCACGTGCAGAATTGTTTCGTGGCCGAGAACCCCCAGTGACAGTTAAAATGTACACCTACATGTATGCTGTATTCCTCGAACCTGCTGTACATACGGTTCATTGCCTTGCTTTGCTGCCTGGTACACACAGTTCAGTGCTTTAGGAGGGTGTTGGGTGTGTTGTACTGTACGCATGTTGTGTCCAGGTTCTCTGGAGGTGTGTCGACAGTGCGTGGAGTGTGGAGTGAAACACGGGCAGCGGAAGAGGACAAGGGACATTGTGACGTGGCTCAAGAAAAAGAGAAGAGTCATTCGCAGAGACGAGCTCCTCGCCTTTCTGCTGGACAAGCCTTACACACCCGACTCAACCCACTCACAACATCTCTACTTCGGCAGTGAACAATCGAGCGATGGCCCACCCCACCACCATTTCTCCCCTCCTCCCCCTTCTCCCTTCCCCTCTCACTCATCATCATCATCCCACCTCCATCACCCTAGACCCCTCCCCTGTATCGATGGTTGCAACTTCCCACCCTCCGTACCAATGGCGTCCCTACCAATCCCTGTGACCTCTAGCCCCTGCTTTACTGGACATCCCCCCGCACCTCGAGCCAGGTGGACTCTATTAGGAAGAGACGAACAGGGGCTGCAAAACGACGGGGAAGTTTACAGCGGGAGAGAAGGAGGAGTAGGAGGAGGGGTTAGCGGTCGGAAGAGGCTCAGTTCAAGCTCTGCTGCTGGGAACTTCGAATTTTCGCAAGATTCGCCGCCCCTGGCAAAACGAATGAAAATTTGAGTTTCTCTTGCGCTTGTATGCTTTTACTAGTAGTGTTAAAAGTTGTGGAATACTGTGTTTTGTATCACTGTAATAATCTTATTCACACCATGTTGCCTTACGCCTCTTGTAAACTCGATGAATAGCGACCCAATGCGCTGGGTGGGGTGGACGATTTCATAGCGCCATAATTAGATACATTCCATTGTGAAAAGTGGGATGGGCTGGGCAGCTTTGGAAGAAAAGCAGTGACAATATTCTTCACGGTGTAGAAATCCTTAGTGCAGTGTAAGCTTATAGCTTTCTGTACCGGAGGATAACCAATAGCTAATAATCAGCTCGTATTTTGGTACTGGGCTCCTACTCAGGATGTCGGACGCGGTCCATCAAGCAGCCAAGGACGGCAACACCGCGGTGCTGAAGAAAGCCTCCAAGAAGGAACTAAACCGTCGCGGGGAAGATGGCTGGACGGCCGTTCACTGGGCGGCTTGGAGCGGCCATCCAGACGCACTAAACACAATCCTGGACAAAGGGTGAGCCCCGCCCACTATTTTGCACAAGCACAGTATACATACATGTATACAGCCTATTCCTCTTTCCTTTTCATGACACACACCTCATTGTCATTTCTGCGACAGCGGCGACCCAGACACTACCGACAACAATGGTTTCACTGCCCTACACGTTGCAGCCCAGTACGGCAACACGGCGGCGGCAGAGGTCATGCTCAACAAGGAGAAGGAGGTGAACCTGTGGAGCCTAGACAACCAGGGACGGACCGCGGCCAGAGTTGCGGCGCTCCACAACCGAGTCGAGTGCTGCCAGTTCTTGGACACGCTGGCCATCCGGTGGCAGATGCAGAACGCGGACTACGCCACCAAGATGCAGAACAAGGCCATGAAGGACCTCTCCAAGCGGCTGGAGAAGGAGGCCAAGACGCAGAGAGAGGAACGACGCGACCCAAAGAAACAGAGGACCTACAGTCACGGCACCGCACCTTCAGGAGAGAGGGGCAGAAGCGATAGCTCCGATATGGAATCCTCCAGCGCAACACAGCTGGCCTCTGGAAAGAGGAAGAAGCATTCGACGCCTGCAGACGTGCTCAGACAAAACTTCGAGCTCCGTTGCTCCAGCTCTGCCGACCAGATCAACCAACAGGCTGCTACAGAGTCAGACGATGATGATGAAGGAGGCGTTCTCCGGCCGGCTGGAGTCAGAACTGGCCCTCTTCTCAACAACCTCAAGTCGCTGGGCCAGCAGCAACTACCGCATGGCAGCCCCAGGCGAGGTCGCGGAGGGATTTCTCAAGAATCTGGTCTCGGATCCGAGACTACTAGTCGACGCAGTAGCGGCTCTGCAGGGCTCCCGGACGCAATGCTGACGGCACAGCCGATCGTCATTGAAAACGATTCTCCGCTCGCCACCTTCCTTCAGTCGCTGGACCTGATCGATCACATCCAGCTCCTGCATAGAGAGAAGTTGGATCTGGAGGCGCTGGCTCTGTGCGAAGAGAAGGACCTCACAGAGATTGGTCTGCCGCTGGGATCCAGGAAGAAGATTCTGAATGCCCTCCAGAGACGGCAGACTCGTCTGAAGAATCCTGGCAAAATGGTGGACACTCAGTTATAGCGTCCAGTCTTTTGTCCCACACACACATCTCACCTTCCCTTTCTCTCACTAATAACGGAACTTAGTCGCGTATTTTGTTTTTCCATCAAATTTTACTGAGTTTTTAATACATTACACATTATCATGAGAGAAATCATGTACCTTTTTGGTACAATGTCACCTCATTCTAACATCATCGTGTTAATTAAACTCGTCAAGAAGCTTGAATGAAAAAAGGTGCCTTGGGTATCTGGTTAGCATGCATTACGACGGCTAGGTGTATATATAGTGTGATGCATGGTTGCTTGACTGGTGCAGTTGTGCGCTTGCAAATTTCAGTGCAGAGCACAGCAGTATTATCGTTACGTGAAATCAAGAAGTATAGTATAATAATTATACATTGCAGATGAAGTGAAGGACAAGTGAGTGCTTCAGTTTATACATACAACAGTGTACAAAAAGATGAGAGAAAAGCCCGTGGACTAGTTGTGGATCTTTATCGCTTTTTCTACCGTGTATCTCATTCTCTTGGGGTTCTTATTGACTGTGTTCTAGTCCAAACCAAGGTGTCCCCATCCGTGGAAATGTAATACCTTTAATAGGGAGGTGGAGGGACCACCATATATATACATACAGTGCCAGCATTAACATCACAGATAATATATGTACTTACCTCTACTGGGGTTTAGAAAGAAATGGGAAAATAGTATAGGATCATCCTCTTCTGCATAAAACACACACGTTCACCTTATTGTGGTATTGGTATATAAAGCCCATTCTAACCTTCCGAGTAATACTTGAGGACTTGTATTGCCTGAACTATAGCAAACTTCCACTGTAGAGAGATAAGAAGGTAAAATCCTGTACCCTGCTGTACATAAGCACTGGAATGGATAGCTTTCTTCAGCAGGTTGCCTTATGCGGAATGTACTTGTACCTTGTCAAATTCCTTCTCAGGCACGCTGAGTCTGGACTGTATCTTTTCAATCACACTGCTGAGTCTCTCTCCCTGCTCACATGACAGTCACGTGACAGACAGTGCATTAGATAGTGAGACGACACTCACATTCTTCACCACAATGACAAATGGAGTCCCAAAGGTGTTGCCTGGAGCCTGGTGTACATTATATATAGACACAGGGCAATACGAAATCCTAGGAATATACATACATACCTTGTGGAAGTGGGCTATTGGTAGGAAAGCTTCATCCTCATCCAATTCCACCTCTTCCTTGCGCACCTCCTGTTATACAACACATCACCGAATGTTATGCTATGAACTATGTACATATGGCTCTATACACTTCATAACACTGCATATGACTGTACTTTGGGATGTATTATGTACACACATACATACGGAGAGAGAGGGAGAGAAAGCCAGTGGTGCTTGTACACTCAATCTCGTACATCTTTCTTCTGCGTATTGAAGTTCGGAGAACTGACTGGCTTGTCAGTAGCTATTGATCGCCCACCACTCGACTGACTAGGACTCCACCAAACTAGCATGTACACACCATGACAGTAAGAGGAAGAGCCACACACGCGTGCGATTTGAAATATTCACTACTCTAGAGAGGAAAGAGAGAAAAAAGAGCTAACCTGAGTATTCTGGACCACTGTTTTCACTGTCATAAAACGTCTCACAACCTGACATTAAACAAGGTTAACTCAACCAGAGGTGTACGCCGTAAGAGTTCTAAACTTTTGCATACGGCTTTGTATCCTCATGCAAGAGTTCCAGCACAGTTCCTGCTTTTCGCATCATACAGATCCAGCTCTTTCTGACTATCACAGGGACTAACGGGTATAGATGAGGCGAGAGGATCATGGAGAGAGAAGGGGAGGGAGAGGAAGGATACGGGTGGAGAGATAGAGTGGAGAGAGAGGGGGAGAATGAGAGGGAGTTATCATAAAGGAGAGAGAAGTCACCACACCACACCTCCTCCCTGGGTTCTGTCATTGATGGAAGATAGAGTAACATCTGAAGAGAGTACTTCTTGTTATCGAACTCATTTGAATGGGATGAGACAGCTACGGTGAGTGGCAGACACATGGTACAGAACGTACATACTCTATTCTCCTATCGCTCTGTATGAGAGGATGTAGGAGGGACTCCTCGTAGCAGATGTCTGTGCCACAAACTCCTCACTGAGGCTTCACTGTTGCACCGAAGGGGATGATGTCCTGATGGGACCTGACACCCAACCACAGACAGAGAAACACTTGGCGAGAGGAAAAGGAAAAGTCTGAAGGACCAAAAAGTGGTAGTGCAATCGGCTGGAATGAGAATTTAGTACACGACTCTGTTTTGTTTGTGGATACTTGTTCAGGTATACATATCGATACTACGCCTACTCACAAATTTTTACGGTAACTGTGTCTCAAATAGTGACAAACTTTTCTGCACAAAGGTCATATGTGTTCTGTAGATACCCCGTGGTCTTGAAGAACTGGACGGGATGGTACATGTCAGTGCCGTATGCTGGCCACCCTCTTTTGCCATCTACACAGAAGAAACAAGCACAGAGAAATGAGATGACGATAGTGCACAGCAACTCTACAGACCTGAATACTACTGTATACTGCTGGTCAGTATTTAGAGACGCTACTACAGCTCTCTTTTGGCAAGCTACATCACAAAAATGTGAAAAAGTGTGAAAAGCTGTTTTTTAGGTATCAAAATTTGCAGCTTTAGCCAAACATGTGTGTGATTGAAGAGGAGAGAGAGCCGTACATTGGCGTAGGTCCATCCGTCTGGTTGAGGGTGAGTGCTCACTCCAGTGCGTATTTAACTAAGGTCGTGGTGAGGTTCGGTATATGACGTCACCACATATCCTGTGGGGACAGCTCACGGCAGTACAAGTAAGTAAAAGTCGTATACACACACCTCCCCATACTCATCTCCCTCCTTTCCACCCTCCTTATTT